AGTTTGTTGCGCTGATTCGAGGTTATCTAAACCGATCAAATTATATCGAGGTAAAAATCCAGCTGTCTGGCTTCTCAAGCAGTTGATTAACGAAGTTGATAATATTACTTATCGTTTGAAAAAAGTAACTCCAATGTTAAAATTAACACCTCAACAAGAATCTGCTCACGAGCAAGCGAAAATTTGTTATATTTGTGAAAAAGCTTTTGACCCTGACAACAAAAAAGTACGTGACCATTGCCATTTGACCGGACAGTATCGTGGAGCGGCTCATGACCAGTGTAATTTAAAATTTCACGCTCCAGATTTTATTCCAGTTATTCTTCACAATTTTCGAGGATATGATAGTCACATCATCGTAGAAGCTTTTGGTGATCCTGAGATAAAAGCTCATCTAAAACTCAATAATGTCATCAAATGCATTCCAAATAATTTTGAAAAGTATATGTCAGTTACGCTAGGTAAATTGCGTTTTATTGACAGCCTGCAGTTTATGGCAGCCTCGTTAGATGAGTTAGTGAAAGGTTGTAGTAAATTTGATAACCTAAGAGACTGTTTTGGAGATAAATTTAATCTATTAGCTAAAAAAGGAGTTTTTCCATACGAATATCTCGACGATTGGAGTAAATTTGATGAAACATCTTTACCTAGCAAAGACAAATTTTACTCGCAACTTAAAAAAGAAAATATAACTGATGACGAGTACAAGTATGCACAAGATATTTGGAAAGAGTTTGATTGTGAGACTTTTGGTGATTATCACGATTTGTATTTGAAAACTGACGTGTTATTATTAGCAGATGTTTTTGAAAGTTTTCGAGAAGTGAGTTATAATAATTACGGACTAGATCCTTGCTGGTATTATTCTGCCCCTGGACTGTCATGGGATGCTCTGTTAAAGTTTAGTAAGGTAAGGTTGGAATTACTGACTGATGTTGATATGTTCAATTTTATTGAAAAAGGTATCCGAGGCGGTATTAGCGTGATAACGAAGAAATATGCTGAAGCAAACAACAAATATTTGAAAGAGTATAATCCTGACCTTCCTTCGAAGTATATAGTTTATCTAGATTGCAATAACTTGTACGGGTATTCGATGGCAGAATCAATGCCGTTTGGTGGATTTCATTGGATCACGGCTGATCAATTTCTATCAGAGACAGAAAAAAAGATATCCGACGATGTTTCGTATTTCGTTGAAGTTGATCTCGATTATCCAACTTCGCTACACAAATTACATAACGATTATCCTTTCTGTGCGGAATCGATGGTCATAGATTATAGTTTGTTATCAGAAGAACAACAAGCGTCAGCATTACCAAGACAACATTCTATGGTAAAGAAACTAGTACCAAATTTGCTTCATAAACGTAATTATGTTTTGCATTACAAAGCTTTAAAACAAGCAGTCGATGCTGGTCTCGTGTTGAGAAAAGTTCATCGCGTACTAAAATTTAATCAGTCGCCGTGGATGAGAGGTTATATTAACTCGAACACTACAAGAAGAGCTGCGGCAAAAACTGATTTTGAGAAAAACTTTTTCAAACTGATGAACAATTCCGTTTTTGGTAAGACGATGGAGAATATTAGGAAACGCGTAAATATCGAACTAGTCAATGATGTCAATCGCAGAAACAAACTTGTGTCAGACGATGATTTTGTGAGCATGAAAATATTTAATGAGAATCTTGTTGCGATACAAAGAAGAAAAACAAATCTAAAACTAAACAAGCCGATCTATGTTGGAGCTGCAGTGTTAGATTTATCAAAGTGGTTGATGTACGATTTTCATTATAATTTTGTTAAAAATCAATGGCCGGCTAGTAGATTATTATTTACTGATACTGATTCGCTCGTATATGAAATTGAATGTGAGGACATCTATCAGGATATGCATGATAATAGATATCTGTTTGATCTTTCTGATTACCCACGTGACAGTAAATTTCATGACGACACAAATAAAAAGGTTATTGGTAAGTTCAAAGATGAAATGAACTCGAGCGCTATCAAATACTTTATCGGATTACGTAGTAAAATGTATGCCGTATTGTTAGACAATAATAAAATAACAAAAAAAGCAAAAGGTCTGCCTCGTGATTTTGTTAAAAAGTTTATAAAATTTGATGACTACAAGTACGCGCTTGATGGTGGTGTTAGTTTTATAAGAGCTATGTCAATTCGGACAAATCATCATAAGCTCGAAACAGATGTCCTTATCAAACGCGGTTTGAGCAATTTTGATGATAAACGTTATTGCGAAAATGGGGTAGATACATTTGCACTTGGGTATTGTCATGATGATAGAGATATATTTGACATTATCTTTGCAAACTAAAATTTTATCTAAACTTTAAAAATAATGTTTGAAAATTTGACAGTAACAAATAGCTACAGTAGCAAAATCAAATATCTAATGATGGACGGCAAACCATTGACAGTTGAAATTAATAATGAAACATCAGGCATATGCTTTAGTGGTACCCGTGACAAGTTAAAACTTTCGCTCATCAGATCTGATGACAGCATGTATTTTAATTATCTCGAACAATTGTATCAAAAGTTGCTTGCGGAATTTAAAAACTTTCACTGTCCGATTAGTCAGCAAAAATACACCAAACTTACAATTGATCTTGATCGGTCAAAGGTGTATTTTATCGACAAAAAATACCCTCTTAACAAATCACAAATAAAAGATTTGTTTGAGTCCCGTCGTTATGTGAGCGGTAAAGTAAAGTTTAGCCTCTATCACCATGATAATGAAATATTTTTGATATCTACAGTTGAGACATTAACAGTTGGTAATGAGGTATAATACCACTTACCTTACTGGAATTCTAATGCGTAATTTAGTCCACAATCGCCACGCTCTGCTAAATCATAATGATTTGGAAAATTGAGTCTGACATATCATTTTGCTTATTCTGGAAGATCACGTAATTAAATTTTACCTGTTACCTAGGTATTTTGCAACAGGTGTTCTATTGTATTTGTTTGGAGGTCTAGAGGGGTTGTTGAGCTCGGATTCTTAGCGCAATTATTGATTGCAATAGGTTTTCTATTACGTTACCTAGGTATTTTGTATTTGTTGAGCTCGGATTCTTAACGCAATTATTGATTGCAATAGGTTTTCTATTACGTTACCTAGGTATTTTGTATTTGTTTGGAGGTCTGGAGGGGGTTGTTGAGCTCGGATTCTTACTTTCTCCTACTACTATAGCTCCCATCTATGCGTGATTCAGTATATACTTGTGTAGTGAATCATTATGTACTTTGACACCGGCTGTATGTCATTACGCGCTACATTGACCTATAGGGTGTGTAAAACATCTATCAGAAAGTAATCATAACGATTTTCCAGAAGACTATTCCCTTTTACCATGAGTGAGTATAAACTTCTTAATGGAAGAAGAAGACGCGAATCATTATATCCTTGTATTCCGGCTCCGGTACCAGGCCTGAATAATATTATTTCTCTGATTTTATACGTTTTGACCGAGTGGCCCAGTGGTCTGAAACGGTCTCCGTTACGGGTCAATGGGTTTGAGTCTACGTGGATATGTGAGAAAACTTGCAAGTAGTTTCTCGAGGGCCGGTGGTTCTTTCCGCGGATTTCCCGGTTTCTTCCTCCACCATTAATACTGGCCGCCATGTATAAGCCCATCGTGTGCTGAAAAATGGCGTTAAGCCTAACAACAACAACAACAACAACACGTTTTGAGTCTTGAGATCAAAACTTGTTACACGATCTTAGCTAGTATAGGCCTGAATATGTGCATTTTGGACGTGCCAACCTAATGATCTCCGTCCTTCAGGGCACAAAGAAAGATCAAGCACATTTTTCACGTGCACGTCACGTGTCTGGTAAAGGTCACCTTTTGGAGCATTCCGATTCTTATACGGTTTATTGGCAATAAAGGTATTTGATAACTCCGCCGTTCAGATTAATGGTACCATACAGTTTATATTCTTCAATTTATTGTCATTTTAATTAATTGCTAACGCATTGTCGGTTCCATAAAATTAATTTTCCTAAATATAAATCTTACCAGATTCGTTTCTGCTAGTGGCAACGGGTTGTGAGCTGATCGATAAATACAGTAAAATGGCATTTTGTTTCGTCAATAGCTCGGCGGAGATACCGGCGTACAAGTCTTATTCATGTACTCTCCTTACTACCTAAGCTTTCTCTTACAAGCGTTAAGATGTAACATTTACTTGACCGAACAACAAATCACTCTTCTTAAGCCTGTAAGAAAAACCTTTGATCCTGAAAAGGCGCTTTTTCTACAACATAATAACGTCGGACTGGAAGCGTTTCAAAATTATTACACTTGTCAGACAAGGGCGAGTGGGATATTTGCATAACCTTTCAACCTGGTGTGTATATTTTGTGTAATGTTAAAATTACTGTTCGATATTTTGAGCCAAATTTCATTAAGCTTTCATCATGTGCTTTAAGTGTAAAATCTTTAAACAGACAAGCAACCATTTTAAAGCATTGATATGCTGGATATACAAACTCTAGTGCAGACTGAGCACAGAGATTTGGGAAAACTCCATAATTTTATTCCTAGATAAGAATAAAACCTCCGTATAAAGAGATCACATTGCAAATCGGTAGAAGTAGCATAGACAATCGAGTTATCTATCAATTACATGATAATGTGTTGTTGTTGTTGTTTTTGTTGTAGGGTTTAACGCCATTTTTTAGCTTAAGATGGACTATGCATGGCGGCCAGTATAAATGGTGGAGAACCTGGGAAAACTCCGGAAAGAACCACCGACACACGAAAAGCTACTGGCGAGCTTTCTCATGTACCCAAATTGGCCAAGCTTGAGACTCGAACCCATGCCGACAGAGGTGAGATTGCAGTGATCCGTAACTGTGAGTGCTTTAGACCACTCGGGTCATCTTAAATAATGTGTTATAATTCTGCTCTACAACTTGCAATATTTTCAAATACCTTTTTAAATTAAAAATATTATAGCTCGTTAGTGACCGCACGGGTGGCCTAGTGGTTTGAGCGTCCGCCTTGGATGTGGGAGGTCGTGGGTTCTATTCCCGGCCAAGTCATACCAAAAACTTACAAAAATGGTACTAACAGCTGCCTCGCTTGGCGTTCAGCATTCAAAGGCTAGTATTAGGACTGGTTGGCCTGGTATCAGGATAATGTGACTGGGTGGGACATATTGCTAAATGTCTGTGGCATGATGTACCAGTGCTAGACATCACTATAAACTGCCACTGCAGACATGGAAGCGAAGTGACTGAAACATTGTAAAAGCAACATTAATAATTCAAATCTCTCTCTCTCTCTCTCTCTCTCTCTCTCTCTCTCTCTCTCTCTCACACACACACACACACACACACACACACATACACACAAGTCCTTAATGTTAACGGTGATAATTTCAGTCAAATTTTAAAATTTTTGCCTAGAGGTTTGAACGTCCGCCTTGGAGGTCGTGGGTTCTATCCCCAGCCAAGTCATACCAAAAACTTACAAAAATGGTACTAACAGCTGCCTCGCTTGGCGCTCTGCAATCAAGGGCTAGTGTTAGGACTGGTTGGCCTGGTGTCAGGATAATGTAATTTGGTGGGACATATTGCTAAATTGCTAAATGTCTGTGGCATGAATCCCCAATGCTAAACATCACTATAAACTGCCACACTGCAGACATCGAAGCGAAGTGACTGAAAAATTGTTAAAGCAACATTAATAATTCAAATCTCTCTCTCTCTCTCTCTCTCTCTCTCTCTCTCTCTCTCTCTCTCTCACACACACACACACACACACACACACACACACACACACAAGTCCTTACTTTTAACGGTGATATTTTTAGTCAAAATTAATAGACGTGCGTGCACTTTCTCCACAACATTCGTGCTCAAAATTTAATTTGCAAATGGTATAAAAAATAAGACCAAACAAAAGATCTTTTTTCTTTAAAAAAAAATGAACAATGTGCAAATTCTTCACAAACACACACACGCGCGCGCGCGTATATATGTAAAGATCAAATTTACCTTGTGTGACTCTCGAAGAACTGCTGGTGGAATCTAGAAAGAAATAAAAAGAAAATTCTGATAATCGAAAAATTAATAAATATTTTAATCTATTTATGTGTTTTTAAGACCAATGCTACGCAACCGTTAAATAGATTAATCATATATCAGCTTAGATATTTTATTATGGTATATGAACGATTTTAAATGACTGACTGACTGACATATACAATAAAAGAATCTTTTCTACCCTTTTTCTATCCCCATTTTTCTACTGACCCATCCCCTCAAACGCCGTACCTGTCTCTTGCCCACCCCTTCCTTTGCTCAGTTGAACCCATCTTACTGCAGTGTATAAAGGATCCCTGGTGTTCTTAATCCCAAATACATGTCTGACACTTGTTGATCTTCGATACTAATTGTGATATAGAATTGATTTATTTAATATGTTTGGCACTTCTATTTTTATACTGATGGCCTTTACAACTTCTTGAAGTGTAACCTTAATTCTACTTTGTTGAAACCAGGGGAATGGTCCTAATGCACTGAAACTAATATATCAGACCGATTGACCAACTGATCGATTGATTGATTAATTTAGTGACTGATTTAGTGCCATAATTTTACGGTAAAAGGATTGGGCACATATTCTCAATGCATGTTCGTCGTTTAACAGAGAAAGAATTGGAATTGAAAGCTGTACGGGTTGCTGACACGAGCAACATAATTAGTACAAAGAGTTATAAGAACAGCCGACCACCAAAAGTCAGAAATAAAAAAATATAATAAAAAACGAGATAATAATAATCACGCATCTTGTTATATCGATTTCATCAGTATTTCTTACAAGAACTGGCTGGATTTCACTTTTTGCGCTGCCTCCATGGTTAAGTAACACTTTATTCTATCATTGCATGGCTTCACATGTAAAAAGTTGTGGGCAGTGTTCATGAATCCCACCTGGAAACATTAAGATCAATATACTGTACTGAACACTCGCATGGATACCATCAATTGTTGAACTGAATTAAATCAATATAACCGCACTATAAAATCCAGCGTCTATTCTTTTCCTCTGTATAACCAAGAAGGTTAGAGTCAAGCTGCATACTCTGAACTCCGACGTATTGTGACTCTTCCTAATCCTCGAGATCAGTCTAGAATTCACCAAAATAATGAAGTACAGGACGTGGACATTTTTTCTCGAAACTCAGTGTAATCATAATGTCATTCATATAATAAGGTTTTAAAATATACAGCTATATTATCCAAGAGCAAAATTGTTTGATTGACAGTTTGCATGCATTTACCTTATTCTGTTTCTCTGTCTTACAAGTTTTGTGAGTTCAAGACTTTAAACCTATTGTAGCGAAATGGAAGATGAAACTTGCCGAGTTATTATTTTACAATATTATATGATAGATTTAATTATCTTGCCAGTAGCTTCTCGTGGGTCGGTGGTTTTTTCCCCGCGGAATTCCCGGTTTTTTCCTCCTCCATTAATACTGGCCGCCATGTATAGCCTATCGTGTGCTGAAAATGGCGTTAAAGCCTCAAAGCAACAACAATCTTTTCCCGCCTTTTTCACTAATCGAAAAAATAGAATTAGGTATTTAACATGGAGGCAGTAGCATACTAAACGGCGCTGGGGTGGGGGCGGGTGAGGCAGTTGCCATGGGCGTCAGAGGTTTTGGGTTTATCTGTTTACGAGCCATGTAGTGTCATTATGGAAAGAGACGACATTGTTGTTATAGGGTTGGCGCCATTTTTCAGCACAAGATAGACTATATTTGTATTAATCGTGGTGGAAGAACCCTGGAAATCCACGGTAAAAACCCCTGACCCACGGAAAGATACTGGCGGATTTTCTCACTTACCCACGTTAGCTGAGCCTGGACTCTAACTCACGCAGAGAGAGGTGAGATGGCATTGATCCGTAACAGTCAGCGCTTTAGACCACTCGGCCACTCAGGGCCCCGGAAAATTATTAAAGATACATTAAAAATCCAAATCGCATAAAAACACTGTTTATTACTCTTCTGTATTCGAGATTCTGCATAACGAGCAGTAGCTACGATGTCAATGGTCGTGACTACGAAATGATCATATACCGTGCAATGGAGAAAATAAAACTTAAAGACAAAAAGTAAAGACGAGTTAAAATCTACAACCCAAGAAATGTTGCTTTTTTTCAAGAACTTTAGCTAATGATAAAAATTTTAAGCCTATATAAAATAAATTATATTGGTATAAAAACTATATAACCGGAGCTTACCAGTTACTATTTACTTTTGAGTGAGTTACGTGAGCATTTGCAACATGCACAATGAATGGCATACTTTTATTCTACTTTGATGTAATGTGGCTGACATTTCTTTGGATATTGTACTGGTGGAAACTGTACATGATCTAAGCACACAGCAGATCAAAATGGTTGTTCCCATGTGCTTGAAAATTCAGTCTGAATTAGTCTCAAATACGCTAACGTTAGCAGTTATTAAAATAGGGGAAACGAATGTTGCCAAGCATCTAAACGTTCTAAAATCAATTACAAAATCTCTAAAAGTAAAAGAAGTTACTGGTTCCTTTTTTCTATAATTTTTCTACAATTTACCTTTGAAGTCCAGGAAGTAAAAATGACCAAACAGTGCTAGCAGTTTTGTATTGTACAAGCACATTTTAAGTGAGCCCAAGCTGCATACTCTAGAACCCAAAGTACACCCAGCATTCATACACCAAAATAAAGGGAATTAAAAGTTCTTTTAACAACAATAGTCAGTATAACCAGTGAGGAAGTTATGTTTCTTTAGAAATGTAACCCTAAGCAAAATATGACATTGTAGTGTGCCTCAATAAGGAAAATTATATTGATATGTTCGCACTAACCGTACTTTCTCTACTATGACAAACAACACGAGATTTTCAGGCTAATTCGTTTTCCATATACTGCTTGCTATACCATATTTGTGATTCTACAATGCTCTATTCAATGCATGCCTTATTTACTGCGTTTTCTTTATGTTTCCAAATAAATATCCCAAAACCTTATATGGTACAGTTGAAAACGAGGCTGAATACGAAAGTAATTAACTGTTGAACCAATAAAACAGACAATCCAAATCAAACATATCGGCCGCTTTCTTGATTCACTGACGATTTAACAAAAAACACCCTATAACCGTTGCGCCAAGTGTTGATAATTACTACTTTAATACTTTATTGCACAAAATAAACTCTAGCAACCCAGCTTAAGCTCAATATAATCAAAATCAGATTTCCACTGTCTTACTTCACGTAGGTTAGCAGAGATCTGATTTTAATCAGATTGACGCTCAGTATGCGTGGCGCATAATCGAATTGTATTTACGTTATACAAAAACCGTATATGATTTACAAGCGGTATGACCAAGACTGCTAGCATTCTCTAATATTTTCATGGCTATACATCCAAAATCCGAATAAAAACAAACTTCTTTCCTCTACTGCACATTGTTCCTCGTTTCCTTTTGCCCATTTGTATCCATCAAATACCCTGTAAAGTGGGATTCTTCGTGTTCCATATACGAGCATATATCCGAAACCTTCCTGATTTCAAGTATTAGTAGTACTTTACAATTCATCCCTGTTCCTTTCTTGTTATGATTGGTGCTTTTGCATGCTAGCCGTCTTTAACAGGTGAAACTAACCGGGAATCGGAACTGAAAATCAGTCGCTAGACTGGTGCAACAAAATCATCGCGTGTGAAAGATATTGGGGGGGGGGAACACTATTTGTGTAGCATATATTTTAGATTCTTTTAATATAAATTTACTCTTTTAAAGACATAGGAAAATATTTATTTATTTGTCTTAGTCTTTTTTGTTATTTATGCACACATTTAAGAATTGTCGGTTTAAAGTATCATCCATGAAAAGTTAGGACTTCACTCTGCATTTCTCATGTTCTATTCAGACGCGTAGCGAGAACATGTGGCGCCCACGGCAAGAACTAAAATTGCACCCCTTATCAAAGCTTTGAAAGTATTAAAAAAAAACTTTGTTCTGCTCAAATATTTTGCACCCCCACCTTTCAGGTGGCACCCACGTCACGTGCGGTGTCTTACCACACCCTCGCTACACCTCTGGTTCTGTCTAAGAATTGTAAGAAACGAGGCGAGGATATGGAGGCCTTTCACATTATAGTATTTTTAACTAGGAGACCGGTTTTGAGCTGCCTCTTGGAAAGTATTTTGAATCCGTTTCATCAGCCTAACGTTTCTTATTTTATTGCTTTGCATTCCATTTACAAAAATAAAACACCCGTAATGTGATAAAATAATCATTATCGATTAATTTAAGTTGTGGCTGAGTGTGTTAGAAAGCTTTCCGTGGGTCAATACAGTGGCGTCACTAGTGCGGACCGCCCCGGGTGACATCATCAGAGGGGTGACACGAAAATGACTGTCTATAAAATTTTTGAATACTTGTGCAGGAAGGAGGTCCATGGGGTGACACCATAAGTTGCCGCACTGGGTGACACCATCCCTAATTACGCCACTGGGTCAATGTTTTTTTTCCCCTGATTTTTCCTTGATTTTCCCTCCACCAAATATAATGGACGTCATGTATCCTGTGCTAAAAAATGGCACTAAATCCCGCAAAATCCTCTGCATAACCTAACACTGCCAAAGATGGCTTTCCCCTGGGTTCCTGCACATTAAATCTGCCTTTCATTGGGTCAGGAATTCAATAAAGATTTTCAACTACAAGAGTCGGACAATTACCCGAGACTCAATGTCTGAACCCGCAACCCTTGAGTTACGAGCCAGATGTTCTATAAACTGAGTTACCTCGATTTCTGAAAATTAACCGAGAGCCAATCATTGCGGTGAGTCGTGTCATACGTTAGTATTAGTATACCTTACTGCCTAGGATAGTGTAAACATCTAGATGATGTTAGACAAAAGTGAAAGGCAGTGGCGTCACTAGGGGGGATGTGGACCGCACCGGATGACACCATCAGACAAGGTGACACCAAAATGACTGTCTATAAAATTTTTGAATTTTTGTGCAAGAGGGAGGGTGACACCATGAATTACTGCACATGATTGTCTATTAAAAAAAATTGAATATGTGTGCAGGATGGAGACCCATGGGAGTGACACCATGAGTTACCGCACTGAGTGACACCAACCCTAGTGACGCCACTGGTGAAAAGATGTTCAATTAATTGTATACATCATACAAAGTTCTCATTGTTTATTCAAAATTCCTATTCAACTCAAAATACATGGACAGTAGTTAAGCTTCGCATGAAAGTTCCTCTCAAAATTTATTTTCGTCATAATTATTTGATGAAAGTTCCTGTGGCCATCAAAGCATCAGAGAGGCCGAGTTACCAATTTGTTATTTGTTTCTGTTTCTTTTTCTTTTGGGTCAACATAGGTAGGTACCAGAGTTAGAATTACCGATATTTGAGCAGAAGTACTGATTTATTGGCATCTTTATCCTCTTTTCAAAGGTTGCAAGATAAACAGGATCATAAATTATTCATCGTGATACTGGATAAATTTTGTCTTGGAAACAACCTATTCGATCATTATATTAGTGCATTTAAAACAACAAAGTATAGTCATATACACTTTATGTATTCGGATGCTATCTGAAGTAGAGCGCAGAATTTGCACCTTCATAAAACCGGATATGCCCCAGTTGATTAGAATATTCTAGCGCGCGCACACACACTGTGTGTGTCTGTCCCTCTCCCCCTCTTTCTTACGCACACACATTTAACCTTTTAAATCTAAGCATATATCTCCTAGGTTAACCTGGACTCGTATATATAGATGTCGAAAATGTATATAACCGAAGGCTCGACTGAAAGGACATGAATTCGTGTTTCAAGGAAGCACTGATGGCAAACTCACTGGATATGTTTGCAAAATTAATTTTCACTGAGACATTATATTCGCTGAGCAAGGTGGTAGCGTTACCCAAAAATGTTTAGAAATATAGTTTCACTGAGTGAAATATGACGTATGCGAGTGCATGCTTTAGCAACAGCTCAACCTAAATCGGCAAAATCACAATGATTCCTTTCGACCTGTTTTCAGAGAAAATATTTTATTGTGACTTACCATACTGGCAGATGTATCCGACATACCAGTCCGCAGAACACTCCCGGGGTGACCAGGTTTTAGTATCCACATTAATCACTGCGCATTCGCCAGTTCCTGTGTCCCAATTTGGTGTGTAAGTCAAAGTCGCTCCTGTCAAATGTAAATAGTGGTCTTTTATTGTGAATTTCCAAAAATATAGCATTTTTATACATAAAAAGTAAAATAAAAAATGTGAGTTAGAATATTGTTTCGCATAGATATGGTATTTAGTCATCTTGGTCACATTAATTATAAAGCTAAAGTCGTAAGCAGATATTGAAAATCAAGATTATCGCCAAACAAGAGCAAATAAGAAAAAATAAACCGAATTCCCAGGGTGCTGAATCAACGCTTTGTGGTATGACTAAAACCTGTTTTATTTCCGAAAGTATCATAGACTCAATAAAAAAAAAAACAAGAGCAATAATCTAAACGCATTGCATTAGGATAACTAGATGTCTCTCCTTTCGTTTGGAAAGAATATATCACTGACTGTAAGTAATGCTAGTTTTAATCAGCAACAACGGGTTACCCACAAATTTAAAATTCAACTTGAACGATGTAAATGAATGGAGTTTGTTGGGTTTTTTTGTTGTTTTTCTTGTTTAATGTCATTATAACATGGGCATTCAGTATAGGTGTTAACGCAATCCAGTGTTTAAAATTAAACCCAAATGTACGCATCCCATCATCATTCTAGTCTTGTAGTAGATGGAGTTGAAGATGTTCATTCACATACAATACAGTAAATAAGACAGGCGTGTTGTACAAATATATATCTATGTTTGTTACAACACCAATCATTACAATGGAATAGTCTGGTTTTACAGAAAATTGATTGGTAAATTTTAATGTTTATCGCAGAATAGTCTGTATCGGATATCCACACAGATTTACAGGTAATAAACATGCATATTTATTCTGCATGTTGTTCTTTACAATGATGTTGTCATTGTTTCCTATTATACTTTTACCTCGAACTTGTCTGAGTATCAGTGACGGATTACCCATTAAGCACGGCAAGTACGTGCTTAGAACACCAACAGGGTCACCAGAAAAAATTAAAATTAATTATTGATGATAAAACTGAATGAATTATGTATAACCATTTGATTTGGAATGATGGTAACACTGGTATTTTCCCGCCTTTATAGCTTTTAATATTTCTATTTTTAGTTTCACATTTTGTAAAAGGGGTGTGATCACCATATTATGTCCCTGGAAGATCTTAATCTGGTTTAAATAAGTATGACAGGTTATCAAAAAGTTACAGCAGCATTACATAAAAATTAAAAATTTATATTTTTGAACTCTTTATCCTCATTTATACATAGTGATGTTTCAATGTATCGCTATACTAAATTATTTATTTATGTTTTCCACGTTTTCACAGTTTGATGAAATTATGTTCATCATTATAAGACCAGATTATCAAGATTATCCTAATTATGTTTGAAACCAGCCTTGACGTCACGTTGTAGGTAAAATTTGCTGATACTTCATGCTCACTTACACATGTATCTTACAGTTAATTTGTAGTCAAGAGCACCGGGGATAATGTAAAAACATTTTATATAAGATTACAACTTTAGACTGATTCTGGAAACGAAGAAACTGCCCCGTCTGTTGTTTAATCATTAGACAACGATCCGCTCACAGTAAATTCAAAGGAAATTCTACCACCGGCTGACCTAGTAGTGACTCCTCTGTTTTGCAATCAGTGATGTCACGACCGGCTTGGATCAAGTTCAACCTTTGGGGACAGGAAATTTGAGAGTACTAAGTGATAAATTTTCCCAGGGGAATTTTCAAAGAGACCAGACCGCATCCAATCAAAACTGGGAGATGCAAACCTAGGGTGGATAACCAACCACTTAGTTCGGACCAAATCCATTTTTCAATCAATGAATGTATGAACGTCGCCAGAGGCGGATCATAGAGAAATTGAGAGGCAGTAGACTGTACTCCTAGATGCGCCTTCGTTAAAAGGCGGGGAAGAATTCTAGTGAAATTATTAGATTGGATTTGTGGACAAAGACTACTTGATGTAGCTTTCCGTGTGGGTGTAGAGTCGACATTCAAGGATCGGAGAGAGGAGAGACACGTGGAGCACACATCGTAGGCGCTAGTGTGACGTCGGTGGTTTGAGTGGTGCGGCAGTGCTGGAAGAAGCACATCATAGAAAGTACCGGAAGTATGTGAAAGACAGATCGGACAGATCCGGAAGTGCCAGGAAAGCACGTAGTGAAAAGTATCAGAAGTACCAAAAGAGAAACAAGAGGCTGGCAGATGAGTAACAGATACATCACTGAAGTAAAAAAAACCTCTCACTTATGACCTTTAATTCATGCGATGAGACAGTAATTGGCAACTGTAAATATGTCATTGACTGTATTTGTTTGAAAGAAATTGCGTTTCAAAATTTGTCCATGAAATTGAATACATTTGATGTGTGATGTGATGTGATTATGATTTTTAACGTACTTTAACTATATGTTAGTCATATCGCTACGATGTCTATAGTGATGCCTAGCACTGGGGCATCATGCCTCAGACATGTAGCATGATGTCCCACCCAGTCACATTATCCTGACACCAGGGCGACCAGTCCTAACACTAACCTCCTAATGCTGAACGCCAAGCGAGGCAGCTGTAAGTACCATTTTTTAAAGTCTTTGGTATGACTCAACCGTTGATCGAACTCACGACCTCCTGCATCCGAGGCGGACGCTCTAACCACTAGGCCACCGGAGCGGTTGAATATATTTGAGGTATTGTATTTCACCTTGAGCTATTTATACACCTAGACCGTAGGCATTGCTGACCGGGGGCTATGAGCTATTTAAATGGACAATTATTCACCTTCTCCCTAGGAGCCACGTGACACTTGATGTGCAAAGAACAGCTTAGGTTGTGCTGCATTTTAGTAACGCTTGAATGCAGAATAAAATAACTGAAGTTAAATGCTATTGACCTTTCTGGAACCAGCCTAATGTTTCCCTGGTCAACCTAAGCAGATGTTATGAAGCTGAACATTTATTATCGGTTTAAGCATTAATGATGCTTCTGTAGAATGCAAGTAAAAAAAAATGTTACTGGCTAGCAAATCTCTAGGAAAAGTGTGATAAAAGTACTAATTATTTTTTCCAGGACTAGAACAGTATGCAGTAACAGATCACGGACTCAATTTACCTACTAATAGCATGACCATGAAGATAACTCCTTTAAAATCACGTGTGATCTTTACGACCATAATTTCATTATTGCGAGCCAACTGTTAATGTTTTATTGGTTTACTTACACAATGTCCTCCTGGTATATATTCCTTTTATGTCTGAAATAGATCTTTGTCACAATCAACTGTTATATCATTAATATTCCCTACATAGATAGTTCCTGAATGATGTCAACAGCAACAATATTTGTGGTATTCTAGCACATATGCCGTTGAGTTTATATGGAGCTTGAAAGTTGAAATAAATTCATTGAATTTCAGGATAATGTTTAAAGAATACATACATAAACAGAACTCAAATCAGACTTTCTGCTAGTGTCTATATTTTTAATTTATAAGTTGACTTTGCCTCAGTGTGCCTTGTTAAAAAATGGCCAGTTTTTAAGGTCGCATATAGGGAAAACTGCCAAGTTGCTAATCGTAAAGTTAAAATGGACAGAATATTGTCTGCTAGTTACTGTTTATTGAGAAGCAAATATTCTTGGAAATCTTTGAGAAATGATGCAAAAGCTGCATAGATCATTACACCATAACAACACTATTACAGTAACATGATAATCACGCTATATACGTACGTAGCCTCGCATAATTTTATATAAAAAAACCCACGAATAACAAGTTATCTAAGGAATTTTGTTCACGTTGATGTTAAATAATAAAAATAAAGGTACAAGTCGTTGGATACTATATATCGTAGTTATTTAGGCATTGTTATGGCACAGTCTTCCAAAAGCATAGCTTACACACACACACACAAACACACACACACACACACACACACACACACACACATATATATATATATATATATATATATATATATATATATATATATATATATATATATATATATATATATATATATATGCATGCAATCCTGGAGCTGTTACCAAGTGGGTCCAAGCCTCATCCTTTTCAACGATCTCATTCCTACCTGTTGTCCATTTCCAGTAGTCTCCCACCCTGTTGATTCCTAACCAGTATAAATGGCTGTCAAATCCATTGGTGATTGTTATCTGACTGACCACAGCATCCTCGTTGCTCTTGTCTTTGAAAATCAGAAGACTTCCTTTCGAGTGTTTACAATCTTTATTGGCAGATTCCCACGATGGATTCTTGTCCGTTGTGCCGTATAGGAAGTAACAAGTGTTATTAGCAACAAAATATTCAGCATCCATTGGACTTATAGGGCAGTATTTCTTCGGATCTACGACTGAAAGAATATACATGAAAATAGGTTACTGATCTTGTTTTTCCTTTTAACGAACTATTTTGGACTTATGCAAAATCCTTTCAAGAGCGCTGTCTTTTGGTTTGGTATTGAAATAGACACTGCAAATGTCTCTATTTACAGACTGTTTGAACGAGGAACCGCAATATTTTTCATCACAAAAAATGCTCTAAAGAGAGACAAATAATTTTCATATGGGAAGTCCTACATACATTTTACTCAACCGTTTGAGTCTTTAGTTGTGATACGTTTTTGTGGAAAATACGTGTTTGGAGAGAAATAGAAAAACTGGAAGTCTAAACATAGTTTAACAATGAGGAAAACTTTCTTTTTACCAATACTTCATAAAGCTTGTGTTGTAAAGACATATCGTGGTTTTTATTTACTATGATTACTGATTAGTCCGGAACGCTCCGGTAGCCTCAATGGTTAGAGTGTCCGCCTCTAATACGTTTCTGAGGAAAATGACGTGTTTGGAGAGAAATAGAAAGACTGGAAGTCTAAACATAGTTTAACAATGAGGAAAACTTTCTTTTTACCAATACTTCATAAAGCTTGTGTTGTAAAGACATATCGTGGTTTTTATTTACTATGTCAACTGATTAGTCCGGAACGCTCCGGTGGCCTAAATGGTTAGAGTGTCCGCCTCTAATGCTGGTAATCGCTGGTTCGAATCCCGACCGAGTCACTAAAAACTTACAAAATAGTGTTAACATCTGCCTCACTAGACACTCAGCATTAAGATTCTAGGTTACAGAATAGTGTTCACGATAATGTGACTGAGTCGTACATGGTGTCACATGTCTCCGTCAAGATGCCAGAGTGCTAGATAACACTAAAAACTGCCAGACTGAAGACATCGTGGAGATGAGACTCAAAGTATTAAAATTACGTTAAAAATCCACACACACAAGTTAAACTTTACAAATACGTCTCAATGTTTTTTTGGTTTATAATCATATTTTGCTTTATTAAATTTAAAGCTAATAATTAATTTAGCTGGTTGTTCTTTGATTTATATTTGGTTTGTGTTGTCAGCTTGGTTCTTCCTGTAATAAGGCACAAGTTAGATTCTGCCACATTTACAGAATTTATACAGTCTTTATTTTGAGCATTTCATTGTACTCGAAAGGCAATTTTATCTCATAGAAAAATGCACTTTTCTATACCATTCAGGGATCGTTTTCCCTGCTGTGCAATATGTAGAATGTACGGGTAATCTTTCTTGGTAGTTTATTTTATTTCCTCCACATTTAATTTGCTTTCGCAATTGAATGATATTTTTGTAAGCAGTCGGATTTTAAATATCGTAGTAAAGATGGCATACTTTGCTTCGCTCGATTATTTAAAAACTTATTATTGCATAATACTGAATGAACTCCATGATAATCAAGTCAACGATATATGAAGAATTAGCATGTGTCTTTTCTATCTTTGGTAGAAAGGTAACATTACTCTGACCATCTTTAACATTAGGAGAAGGGGAGGGGGATTGCATTTATACTTTAATGAGCCTGACCTTGAAGTTACTATCTCTCCTGAGTAAATTACACATGAGTGTGACAAAAATGTGAAATATGATAAGGTATTCATGTCATATTCAATATAAATTAAACTCTATATATTTTTAGCTGCCTTCATAATTCATATTACATGTTTAGGACATATTAAATTTTCCCTATCCCTATTATGATTAAAAAAAATAACAGAAACTATTTTGCATAAAACGCAGTTAGAAATTAAAGAGACCTTTGAGTTTTGAAACTGCTTTAAAACAATTATATAAAAAGCGAAATTTAGCATATGCATAAAAATTGTTATTGAGGTACGAGGACTAAACAAACGATGCAAAATTTTAAAATGAACTTTGAGATATGAAATACTTTTGTAATGTATTTATTCAGATATATTATGTTATTTCTTACTAACCGACATTTTTGCTGAGGGTTGAGATTTTAACATGGAATGAATGGGTTATAAACACTAAGTAATGAAATTACCCAACACGTTGATGTTTATAAATTTATAGTTTAATATTTTCACTTGCTTTTACAAGTTAGTATGTTCACAGTTGGTGACATGCGTGATTGTTACTTCCTTGCATTGCTCGGTAAGCAAGCAGAATATAGCTGTATGTTTCTGTATAATTATTTTACATTTGGTAAAGTGTCTTGTTTACATTGTATTTTAGTTGTAACTGCCCAAACTTTAATTAAGCCTACACATTTAGACTCGATGATTGAAATAGCCAATTACTTACCTCATAGATTGTGGTATAATGTATATGTTTAATTTTCATATTTAATATTTACAACTTAAAAATAAAACGTGCAATGCATAGTATGTAAGTTTTATTTGACAGGATTAATAAGTTCTACTTAACTCAACAATTCAGACCCAGTAACTTATTTTGCAGTTTAATAACAACAGAGATGTTGTTTTTAATGTTTCCTGTTAATTGGATTGTTTTAGTGTATATTGGTTTTTGGCTGACGAGATTGCTAAGTTCTAAAAACTAAAACAAATCCGACTTGATAATCTCAGAACTGGCAACTTACCGTGACGCTATTATTTATAGATTAACATAATCAAAAACAAGGACACAGAGAACAAACATTTCATGGATGGACAACTCTCCACAAACTTATTACCTGACTGTGATGACTTCACTGATACGGAATATAATTCTAAATATTTATATTTAAACATTTTCTTTAACAGTAATCTAAACAGTTTTTATTATATTTTCCAGAAAATCATACAAAATATTATATTACTCTTCTGATAAATACATTTGTAAATTATTTAAATTACTAAAAATATATATTTTAGTTAGAAAAAATTAAAGTTGAGATTTAAGGAAAAAAAACCACGAAAAAACTATGATTTCAATATATTCTTAGTTAAGACATTTTCAAACGCGTCCAGAGGTATATGAATGAGGAATATCAGAATGATTGTTAATTTTAAATGTTATTTAAATCGTTTGAATGTCAACTTTAAATTCTTCTCAAAGTATCCACCTAACTTTCTGAATGTATAGCACAATCTTCCATCATTTCCATTTTATAACCTCAACAAAATTATATTTTATTTGTATGACAAGTAATAATTTAATCACCTAAAAGTGTCATGAAAAAAAACTACTGAACGTTAATGAGATTTACTAAAATTATTTGCCCTTGCATTTCCAACCGTCAATATCTCGAGAAGTGAAAAATTGATTTTGATAAAATTTGTGTACTATTGCTTTTCTATTGTGTCCTCTTTTTTCTTATATTATTTTTTAATTTCTATCTCACTTTAATATTTAATGTTTAAAATGTCACTGTATGTTTCATCATGGTGGACCTGTCTCTTGTTTTCTAACATTGGTTAGTTATTAAATTATTTTATCGTATTGATTTTTTTTTAAGAAAAAAATGATTGGAATATTGGCTCTAAAATACATTATCTGTACTTATGTTAACTCTTGGGAACGCCTTGTTTGTCTGCTCTGCCTCGTTCTATCTTGCCTCTTCCGATATTTGTAAATGCATTTTGCATGACCCAATCCTTGTGACCATACAGTTGCTTAATTGATTTATTTCCAACAATTTGTTTCAAAAACATTAACCTCTTTTTAAGAAAGCAAAAGAGTGAATATAACCAGGGTATACTCTTTAAAATCTGCTCGCCAATTTTTGTATTTAATAAACATTTTGTAAATTGCTATTTATCTGATGATGAGCTGCTTGATGTGTACTCATAAACATACCACCCCACGCGCACGTGCGCACGCGCGCGTTCATACGTCGACTCGGTAAATCTTACTTAACAAAGAATCGCAAATTCTTATCGTTAGTCACACATCTCTTCACTTCTGGACACCTAATCTGACTCAAATCGAGATCTGCAACATACAGGATGTCGACATGAGGTCATGTTCTGTTGACCTTCAGATCACCATTAAATTATAGCTTTCACGTTTATGAAAGTAAAACACTTCATTGGTGACATCCCGATTTCAAAGTAACTCTCTCTCCCTCTCTCTCTGGCACAAAATGCAACGCTTTCCTGGCAGCAATCGAAACATTTTGATCAATCCTATGGAGTGTGCCTCGAAAGAATTCCCAACGATGTCACCATTATACGTCATCACCGGTAAGTAAACGTCTCTGCTATCTGGCCATTTACAAACCAAATTTGGATATTATTCCCCGTCAATGAGCTAAGCGGACACGTATGCATGTATGTTAAAAGAAACAAAATAGTTTTAGACACTTGGCCCACCTATTTTATTTCCACAACATTCTACTTTCAACCTTTATATATATATATATATATATATATATATATATATATATATATATATATATATATATATATATATATATATATATATATATATATATATATATAATTCTTCAGTTTAATGGGAATGCACATGTTGCACGTAGTCCGAAATCTCATAATGATTAAATATAAGTTATCGGTTTAAAGAAGCATAACTTCTGAAGCTTGAGCTGCCATTCCAAAGTACTGGGACTTACCATCAAGAGTATTTTTGTATTTGGACCACCTTGGCGTTTGATTGACCAAAAAGAGGCAAATATAATTTCTGCTCAAACGGCAGAAATATAAAACTTGGTCCAACTAGATTCCAGTTTAAGAAATATCTGGCAATTTATGATTTTTCTGCAACTTAAAACACTGACATACTTTGGAAGTATGTTTCTGTTTCATGAAAATGAACGCTCTGGTAAAATTTATCTGCTAGATTACTATAAAGGATTTCTGACGGTCCTCTGCACGTGAACTTCTATCGGTATCAATCGTATCAACCTATAATAAGTATCTCTCGAGTTTATTGAGACTGGAGGATGCAAACAATTATAAGTCTTGACATGTGGCTGTCACATCATAAAAGAAAAGCGATTTCCAAGCAGAGAGAGAGAGAGAGAGAGAGAGAGAGAGAGAGAGAGAGAGAGAGAGAGAGAGAGAGAGAGAGAGAGAGAGAGAGAGAGAGCGCGTTCGTGTGATGTGTGTGATTATGATTTTTAACGTAGCTTTAACATTTTTTCAGTCATATCGCTACGATGTATGCATTGTGGCAGTTTATAGTTATGTCTAGCACTGGGACATCATGCCGCAGACATGTAGTATTATGTCCCACCCAGTCACATTATCCTGACACCAGGCTGACCAATCCTAACACTAACCTCTTAATGCTGAACGTCAAGCGAGGTAGCTGTTAGTACCATTTTAGAAAGTCTTTGGTATGACTCGACCGGGGATCTATCCCTCGACCTCCCGCATCCAAGGCGGACGCTCTATCCACTAGGCCATCAGAGCGGTTACGGAGTGTGATGGACAGACGGATGGATAGATGGACTGAATAACACAAAAGGATGGTATTATAATATTCTTAACGCTTAACGCTTAAAATATAGTAATATATGTCAGAAAATAGACGAAGGTGTGTCGATGCCTTTAATATTTACAGCACCATATGCCATTCCGATTAATTTAGATCCGGGTATAAGATTTTAATTATCTGAACCGTTTATCAATATTTTGACATGCAAATAATATAATTAAATACAAAATTCGCTGACTAAATAATGCAAAGAAATATCTGAATGTGGCAAAATACTGATTTCCAAATGATGTTTCTTTAAAGGTAGGTTTGTAGATCTCACCACTCCCACATATTCGTACACGATGCATTACCATATTTTTTAAAAAAAATTCGATTTCTTCCTATGTATTACATGTACCATATGCGTGGGTATGTATAAGCGATGTATTTTCACACAAATCTTCTCCGTGGATTGTTCTTTTGGGATGTTGTTGAACCTTATAGACCTAGATATAGTTTGGCATGGATCTCTCAAATAATCCACTTTAAAGAAGAAATGAATGCACCTGACATGCTCCACTTACGCTACATAAAGCCTGCCGTTACCTTAACGTATCAGCAAGTTTGTCGCCTTGTTTGTCGTTGCTGGCAATATTTGATTGTGTGGAGAAGGGTTCTGCACGGGGTACATTGTGAACCAGTGTTCTAGACGATAATTCTAAAAATGCAACATCAGAGTAAACATAAAGAGCCAGACTACATGAATTTCACATATAAATGATCCGCGATAGTCCTTTCGGTTGCTATTTCATAACTGAATCGTTAGCGAAAAATATTGATATTTTTGGTTCTCTATTTTGTTTTCCTCGTGTTTCGCGTTCCTAATATTAAGAAGGAACCTTACTTGAATATGACTCCGATGAAATTTTGGCATCTTTCATTTGACATGTACTAAGAAATTCATACTCACAATAATGCTTTTCTTTGATTTTATGATATAAAAATTACAGAGAGAGAGAGAGAGAGAGAGAGAGAGAGAGAGAGAGAGAGAGAGAGAGAGAGAGAGAGAGAGAGAGAGAGAGAGAGTCAACTCATAATCGCGACTACGGAAAGTATAACGTTACCTTGAGCATGAACCGACAGCGCCAGTATAAGTGAAAGTAGGATTCTCATGTTGAACACGCACGCATGGAAGGACTTGCCTTGTTTTCTCAGCGGTTGCATTTATTATACTTTGTTCGTTTTATGAGCAATAGATATGTAGCACACTGCGGAAAGGAAGAGGTTCGCTTATTAATCAGTGTATATTGTTCCGCTCCAGTTCACTGACGTATTTAGTTTCCTTAGTAAGACTATGCTAATGGCACTGTAATGGATGAGCTGGTTTGAATTCGCTTAAGTGGCGCAAAAGTAAATACAAGTAGTAAATACAAGTAGCTCATTGAATCGCTGACTACGCTCTGTCGTTATGAGGTGTTAGTTGACACTTAAAGGGGTGACTAAATGATAAATGTAATTTTCTTTCTATTACTTGCAGCTACAGTATAACCGAACCTTTCAGGAATTTGTCCACGCTCATTCGTATCAAGAAATGTATTATCCCGTCACGTGCGTCATAAGATCAATCTTGAACCATGGGGGGGGGGAGGAAGCGTGGCGGGGTCTGAAATGCACAATTTACGGCCGCCAAATGGATCGAAACTGTTTGATTTATATAAAAAAAATATTTAAATCAAGTGAAGTGAACTGAGTTTTTAATTATTTTGAGGTAAAAGAAAACAATTTTTTTTTATCGAAATAAAATCCAAGGCTTAACCACCCCCGTGGGCTAAGTGTGGAGTAAAAAAATTTTCTGTCACTCAGCGTTACCTTTAGACAGGAAATTAGGAAAACGTAACTTGTATGATTGACTGCCGGGACAGTGTTACACTTGTAATGGCCCTAAAACATCAAATGGACCAATTAAATTCTGCTAAGAACAGCTGATTCGCATAAGCAAGCCAGGACTACTAATCGTAATAGTGATAGTAAGCAACATTACGTTGGTTTTATCAACCAGATGTTATTGAATTAAAGTAAACCCAAATTGAGTCAGTGGGGGTGGGAGACCATACCCAAGTAAAATTACTTTAAAATTAGGTCCGTCATACCGCATGAAACAATGATGGAATGGTTATTGTGGAACGTATATGTTGAGACAAGATTATCATATAGCAATTACTTTATTCCTTTTCTGGAGAGAAAGTATTGTTGACGAGCACATGATCTGGTAATAACTTGTATTCGACTACATTCAGAACCAAATATCGATACTATTACAGTACTTTAGAATCTCTTGTTCAGCCTAAGTCAAGTTTTACAATTATGTTACAAAATGTTAACTGAAAGCGGCATGAGAAAATTGTTTGCGAATTTTCGTCTGAATGTACTCATTTAAATTGAAACTATATTTTTTAAGCATTTTATTATTTTTAGACCTCTTTTGCTTTTCATACCTGTGTCAGACCAGCGAAAACGCTCTCTTTTGTTTTGGATCGGATACGTCGATAAAAATGTATGACATCATATGGTCTATATCGAAAACTCTTGTAAACACGTCTTTTCGTTTTATCAGAATCTTTTGCATCCACGCCTTTACGATATCTCAAAATCTTTTGCATCCACGCCTTTACGGGGTATCAAAATCCATTTATTATGTGTCAAAATCCCTTTCAAACACACCTTTAGAGTCTATATAAATCCCTTTGCGTATATACAAATCTCTTGCATCCAGGCCTTTACGGTATATCGAAATCTCTTGCATCCATGTCTTTGCGGTGTATCAAGATTTCTTGCATCCATACCTTTACGGTGTATCAAAATCTCTTGCATCCATGCCTTTGCGGTGTACCAAAATCTCTTGCATCCACGACTTTGCGCTATATCAAAATCTCTTGTATCCATGTCTTTACACTATATCACAATCTCTTGTATCCATGCCTTTACGCTATATCAAAATCTCTTGCATCCATACCTTTACGGTGTATCAAAATCTCTTGTAACCATGCGTTTACGGTATATCAGAGTCTCTTGCATCCATGCCTTTACGCTATATCAAAATCTCTTGCATCCATGCCTTTACGCTATATAAAAATCTCTTGTATCCATGTCTTTACACTATATCATAATCCCTTGCATCCATGCCTTTACGCTATATCAAAACCTCTTGCATCCATACCTTTACGGTGTATCAAAATCTCTTGCATCCATGCGTTTACGGTATATCAGAATATCTTGCATCCATGCATTTACACTATATCATAATCTCTTGCATTCATGCCTTTACGACTTATCAGAATCTCTTGCATCCATGTCTGTGCAGTGTATCAAAATCTCTTGCATCCATACCTTTACGGTGTATCAAAATCTCTTGCATCCATGCCTTTGCGGTGTATCAGAATCTCTTGCATCCATGCCTTTACGCTATATCAGAATCTCTTGCATGCATGCCTTTACGCTATATCAAAACCTCTTGCATCCATGCCTTTACGGTGTATCAAAATCTCTTGCATCCATACCTTTACGGTGTATAAAAATCTCTGCCTTTACACTTTATCATAATCTCTTGCATCCATGCCTTTACGACTAATCAGAATCTCTTGCATCCATGTCTTTGCGGTGTATCAAAATCTCTTGCATCCATACCTTTACGGTGTACCAAAATCTCTTGCATCCATGCCTTTGCGGTGTATCAAAATCTCTTGCATCCATGCCTTGATGCTATATCATAATCTCTTGCATCCATGCCTTTACGCTATATCAAAATCTCTTGCATCCATGCCTTTACGCTATATCAAAATCTCTTGCATCCATGCCTTTACGCTATATCAAAATCTCTTGCATCCATGCCTTTACCGTGTATCAAAATCTCATGCATCCTTGACCTTGCGGTGTATCAAAATCTCTTGCATCCATACCTTTACGGTGTATCAAAATCTCTTGCATCCATGCCTTTACGGTGTATCAGAATCTCTTGCATCCACGCCTTTACGCTATATCAGAATCTCTTGCATCTATGCCTTTACGGTATATCAAAATCTCTTGTATCCATACCTTTACGGTGTATCAAAATCTCTTGCATCCATGCCTTTGCGATGTATCAAAATCTCTTGCATCCACACGTCTACGCTATATCAGAATCTCTTGCATCCATGCTTTTGCGGTTTATCAAAATTTCTTGCATCCATGCCTTTACGCTAGATATTAAAGTCTCTTTTGCATCTATGCATTTACGGTGGTTCAAAATCTCTTGCATCCATGCCTTCGCGGTGTATCAAAATCTCTTGCATCCATGCCTTTACGGTGTATCAAAATCTCTTGCATCCATGCCTTTACCATGTATCAGAGTCTCTTGCATCCATGCATTTACGGTGTATCAAAATCTCTTGTATCCATGCCTTTGCGGTGTATCATAATCTCTTGCATCCATGCCTTTACGGTGTATCAAAATCTCTTGCATCCATGCCTTTACGGTGTATCAAAATTTCTTGCATCCATGTCTTTACGCTATATATCAGAACCTCTTGTATCCATGCCTTTGCGGTGTATCAAAATCTCTTGCATCCATGCCTTTACGGTGTATCAATATCTCTTGCATCCATGCCTTTACCGTGTATCAAAATCTCTTGCATCCATGCATTTACGCTATATCAGAATCTCTTGCATCCATGCCTTTACGGTGTATCAAAATCCCTTGCATCCATGCCTTTACGGTGTATCAATATCTCTTCCATCAATGCCTTTACGCTATATCATAATCTCTTGCATCCATGCCTTTACGCTATATCAAAATCATTTGTATCCATGTCTTTACGTTATATCAAAATCTCTTGCATCCATGCCTTTACGCTATATCAAAATCTATTGTATCCATGCCTTTACGGTGTATCAGAATCTCTTGCATCGATGCCTTTACGGTATATCAGAATCTCTTGCATCCATGCCTTTACGCTATA